TGGCTTTTTCCCGCGGCCTCTGGGCCATCCAGAGCACACAGCCCTGTCTCTGCTGCCCCTGCCCTTCTTCCAAGTAGCCCTGTGCACCCTTGTGAGGTCCCAATTCCTGATAGAGAGAACATCCACCAAGAGTTAACCTTGTGTCTTTTGCACAGAGCTTTTAGATGATTGCCTGGTTGTAGAGTTTAATTTGGAAAGCAAATGCCTAAGACCAGGGATCTGTAATGATGCTGACGCCATAAACATAATCAGATTTCAGTGCTGAATATGGACTCTTTCAGCAACAATGATTAAATGTTCTACACACAGCAAGAGCTCCCTTAAGCACTATTAATATTACTGTGACTAATCATTTAAAGATTAATAATCATGTATTTAGGTCATTTTTTTCCCCCAAAGCACCAGGAGGCTCAGAGACTCCAATAGCTTTAATATCTGAAGAGGCTCCACATGGCTATTGGTGGGACACTGCTTTGTTCAGGCCCTAAGGATCTGGGAGTGTATAAGTGAATCAACTTGGTACTTAATTATCCTCTGAGAAAATGAATAATATATGCTTCCCTGAGATTCTTCCCTTTGCCTCATCTGCTTCTCAGTCTTCACTGTTAGAGTGCATCCAAGAGGGCTTAGGAGGCAGAGGTAGGGGAGGGTTCTCCTCTGGTTTGGCTTCCTTTTGGGAAACTGGGTGGGGCAGGATGTGGTGGTGGTCCAGCTGCGACAGTGTTGAGCTCACTGAGTGCCAGGGTTGCTTCACTTGGGGTGCATTGTTGGGTGGATGCCTTAGATCTATTTACCTTATTTCTACTCTGCAGATACCTGGGGCGGGGCAGGTGGGGCAGGCAGGGCTGTTCCTCCAGAGAGAGGTTGCAGGGCCCATGAGTAAGCTTCTGTGGCTGTCCGGCTGCTCTGGGGAACAGAGAGGCAAGAGTTACTGATCTCTCAGCTCAAAGGAAAGGCTTAGATGGGAGATTTTAAACATTTTTATGGCCACCTGGTGATCTTCATTCAGAGCTATAGCAACTACTTAGAGATGAGGCATGACCCATGGTGGTTACTGTCTAGAAAAAACAATGAAGGCCGTTGATTTGGCAGATCTGTGCTAGATTCATGCCGGAACTTCCAGACCACAGAACTAACTGGTGAGCAGACCAGCGGGTAGTACAGGATCCGACCTCTTTCCTTAGACCTACTTTATAGATCTGATCAATTTGGGGTTCTCTGAGAACATTTTGGATATCACCTCCTTCTATATTTTAAAAATATTTTATTTATTTATTTTTGAAGGGAGGGAGAAAGAGAGGGAGAGAAACCTCAATGTGTGGTTGCCTCTTGCATGCAACCCAGGGTTACATGCCTGCAACCCAGGCATGTGCTCTGACTGGGAACCGAACCCATGACCCTTTGGTTCACAGGCTGGCACTCAATCCACTGAGCTACATCAGCCAGGGTTCACCCCCTCTCATTGTAGGTAGATGGCCTACACTTTAATTTCAAGTGACAGAGTCCATCTTGAATAGCCTTGGGATGACTGTGAGCCCAAGAGGGAACTAGACATGTCTGATTCAGGGGTTCAGGTTCTTTTATCAGGGTTCTGGCTCTCTCCATCTCTTTTGGATTTCACTCTCAGGCAGGCTTTCTCTAGGGCAGATGGCCTCCTAGAGCTCTAGGCTTATGTTTCTTAAGCCCAAATTTCAGAAGGAGAATGATTCTCTCCCCCATTATTTTATGAAAAATACCTCTACTAGTCTCTGCCTCATATCTTGTTAGAGCTGGGAGTTCCTCCATTGGTCAGCATGGCTCAGGCCACTCAAGTAGGGGGACAGGTGGGGCCTTTGATTGACACACAACTGTCCACAGGACTGCCCTGGAGGAAGAGATGTAGGACAAAGCAAAGCGTCATAGAAACAGAGGTCCACACGGCTTCTTTGTACTGCCTTTCCAAATTATTTAGGTTGGCAAGCTATGGGTCAGACAGTCAGCCCTAGATTTGAATATTGACCCCAGCACTTACTAACCATGTTTCCTCAGGCAAGCTGCTGCTTAAGCTCACTGAGCCTCAGATTCCTTCTGTGGTTAGTGGGAAAAATGACGGTACCTGTATCAAAGGGTCAATAGAAAACTAGAAAGAAAATGAAGAACTCAACATAGCGCCTAGCGCATAACAAAGGCTCACTAACATGTTGGCTATTATTATGGGCCTCTATTATAGTCTGGCAACTCTGGAAATGACCAACAAAGACAGAGTGGACTTCTTTGTTGTTTTTCTAGTCTGCTTTGAACCATAAGGAAGTTGTTGCACACATTTCAAAAGACCAGTCTCACCCACAAAGGTGAGGATATCTGCTTATGCTTTCCCTGAACTGTCAGAACCAACTCTAGAAAACTCTAGAAAACGGATTCCATGGGTTCCTCTGCTCAGTTACGTAAAAGGAAAGATTAAGGAAAAGGAAAGCGGGGCCCTGGCATCATGCCGGTCCCGGACCACGGCCCCTGACCTCCACTGCGGGCTCCTCCTTTAACCTCAGCTGCCCATGGACCACAGCCCCACCCTGCCCTCCTCCCTGTGGTGGCCCCCGTATAATGTAGTCCTCAGAAGTTTTTTTTCCCATTCTTTTCAGTGGCAGTTCTAGAGGTTAATCAATATGTTAAGAATATCTCTCTCCTCCCTGGGGCAGGACTCTCTGACCCTTTCTCATATCCTCTGCACAGAGTAGGGGGGAGGCATAGCTTTGTTTCAGCAATCAGGGAAGACTTTCTGATGAACTCCAGCCTGTGCCTGTTCTGTAGTATAGCGACCAAGAGGACAGGCCCTGGAGCCAACCTGCCTGGCTCAGATCCCAGCTCTGCTGCTCACTGTGTCTGTCCAGGTCAGTGTCTTAACCTCTGGATGACCCTGTAGAGTCACTGGGAAGATTAGATGAGTTAATATACGTGAAGCAGTTAGAATGGTGGGGCGCGTAATAAAAACGTTAGCCATTACTATCACTGTGATCTTAAACTCTTAGAATTTAAATCATTGGTTCCCCTTGAGAGAGAGGTGGGAGGAGGCAGAGACCAATCCATCAAGAACGATGGGCTGAACCACCCTGTGGGAGGTGTTAGACCACTATGGGGAGACTGAAGAGAAAATAGAGTTGTTTCCTGCAAGATGCAGTTAGGTAGGTATATGAGTCAAATAGCCATCTAAAATGACATTACAAAAGATGTCTTAAGACAGTGGAATCAATTACCAATGAGTGGCTGGAGGTAAGAGCCAGGAGTAAGAGTCACTTTGTATTGTTGAGAGGGTTGTGGGTTGAAACAGGTTTTGAAAAGAAGAAAAAACTTGGATAGATGGGAAGGGCTATCCCAGTGGGTAACAAACACAGACATAGTAAGTAGGTTTGGCTGTGGTGAACATTCCAAAAGTTTATACAGAAGAATAGCGGAAGGAGAGCCAGATCTTCAGACAGTGCCGGAAATGGAAGGAGGGAGTTTGGACATAACATTTGACTCAACAGGAAGCCTTTGGACTGCAAAGTGACCCTCTGCAGCATTCAAGGAACTCCACCCAGTGGGAGTGAGCAAGGTGAAGTTTAGTGGGACGATTGCAGAGGAAGGGACTAGTTCACTCAGCCTATATTCATAGAAACCCTAGTGTGTGCCAGGGACTCGTTGCTCCTGAGATCCAGACAGCCAAGGTTCCTCCCCTTAGGGAACTTAAAATTTAGTGAGTTCCAGTTGATCCAGAATACTGGTGGGTGCTGAAATGATGAAGTCTCAGGTTGCTGGGAAACAGGATATTCTTATGGGCTCAGAGTCTCACTACTCAGAAGACAGATGAATTACAATACAAAGGGAAATGGATGCCTTTTGGGAGACCTGGTGTTCCCATGGTAACCAAGTGACTCCACCTGTGTGACTGAGGCAGGCTTTGATAAGATGCCATTCTTACTGTGAAACAGGCAGATATTCTTAACAGAAGAACTTAAACACGACCTAATCATGCAGGAGCCAAACAGACAAATCCACCATGTGGGACATTCTATAAGACAGCTGATCTGGGTGCACAGAAAATTAAATGTCATTAAAAACAAACAAATGGGGATAGATCCTAGGTTAAAGGAGAATAAAGCAGGGATTGGCAAACTACATAGCCCACTGCCTGCTTTGTAAATAAAGTCTTATTGGTCCACAGCCGTACCCAACCCTTTACATGTTGTGTAAGGCTGTTTTGTCCTACAGTGGCAGCTTTGAATAGTTTTAACAGGGACTCTATGACCCGCAACACCTAAGATATTTACTAACTGTCCCTTTACAGACACTTTTCTGACCCCTGGATTAAGGCAACATTAAACCAGACTTGAACCTTGATCAGTTCCTGGATCAGGGTGAAGAAAAGGAAAACGTCAATAAACCTAATTTTTGGGCAACTGGAGAAATTTGAAGAAGGAGTGCATATTCAGAATGTTACTGAATCCATGTTAACACTCTGAGGCATGGCGGTTATATTGTAATTGTGTTGCGCAATGTCCTTCTGAGGTGTTGAATGCTGAAGTATTTTGGGGGTTGCATCATGATGTCTACAGTCTACTTGTAAATGGTTCAACCAGTAGAAGGAATGGAAGGGAGGGAGGGAGGGAGGGAGGGAGGAAGGAAGAAAAAGAAAGAAAGCAAATGAGGTGACAAACTCTTAATTAGTCAACATTGGTGAAGGGTATACAAGGGTTCATCATGCTGTTCTTTGATTATTTCTGTAGATTTAAAGACTTCCGAAATTAAAGTTAATTACAGAAAAACTTGAACACAATTGGGGGTGTTAATTTAGGGACCACTTTTAGTAGCCCTTATGTAATCTTCCTGTATGCCCTGGCCACGCCTACTTATGCCCCTTCTGGGGGATTCCCTTCCAAGCCCAAGAGGGCACTGGAGAGAGGGAGCTCCCTGTCACTCTGGCAGGCTGCCCCAGCAGGGACTTCTTGTGTAACTTGGGGATTGTGCTTGTTGTCTCTTTTGCACAGTAATTCCATCAAGCTGGTGAATCTGCTCTCCATATTTATCAGCACATGGCTAACAGCAGCTGGGTTCATCCACTTGGTAAGTATCCTTGAAGATGCTTTAGCTCTGCCTCTCCTGGAACAAGCCCCTCTCCGAGTTATCTTAGTACCTGAATTTTTTCTTACTGTTGAGAAACTTAGGCCCAGCTGTAGAGTGTAGGAAAAGAAAAAGCAGGTGCAACATTGTCTGGGTTTCCAACCCTTTACCCTCCTAGATTTGTCCCAAATGGTGAGTAACGTCCTCAACTGTTGTTCTGCGTTTTTCAGCTCACCAGTAGTGCCCTGAAGCTTTGGTACATTTTCACTCTGTCTGCAATACCCACAATGAGCCACAAGATGGCAATGCTTCCTCAGCAAACACATGGCAACGTCTTGGGGATAAGGTTGGCAGTTTGACCCACATCTCTTTGTAAACAAATTCAGATCCCTCAATTTCTTTTCACTTCCCCTCTTCCAAAAAGCCACCTTTGATTCTCTTGCCTGATGACTTGTCAAGCTACTTTGTATCTCAAAAATGTTAATTCATTTAAGTTAATGACTCTTTGAAAGCCTTATATTAGGAAGTCAAGTTGTCCTCACCTCTTCCAGGCAGACTTTATTCCTGCTTTTAGGGAACACAGCTATTGTCGGGAGCCTGTCTGATACAAATACAAACTGTTACACCTGGAAAGAGCCTCATGCAACTCTGAAGCTTTCAGTGAAGGTGCCCTTCCCTGACTGAGCGGCTCTCTGCATAAGGGTGAAAGCATGCATTTAGCTATCTACCATAAGGACTTAAATAATTTTCATCCAATGGAACTCAACCTGGTTGGAAGCCCAGTCCCTCATTCAGAGACTAGATCTTGCCCTTAGATAATCACCCTAATTCTGCGAAGTGCCTAAATCACAAATATGGAAGGGTTAGTCACTTTCAATAGGCCAGTGACCTCACCTTCCCACTATGTGAAGTACCCTCTTCTTCACCAGGAAACACCCACAGACATGGTACATTGAGGATGGGTGTTGATGTGTGAAAGAGGCCAGCTTGTGGAAACTTTCTGTAGTGGCAGAGTTGGGGGTCCAGGGGCACGCAGGCCAGGGGGCCTGACCCTTGCACTGGCCATGCTGACGGGCCAGAGGCGTTAGATATGGAGATCCAGCCTCATTGCTCCCTGTCTCTTGAGAGTATCTAAAGTGTCTCTCTTGCCTACCTCACTGTTTTCTTGGCAGATCAAATATGATGAGAGGACTGAAAGTGTTTTTGTTAAATTTAAAGCAGAGATAGGCAAACTGCAACCCTGGAGCCACAGGTCTCCCAATGTGATCATGCTTCCTTAGTTTTGGTATTCCATCTAACTGATTTCACCTCCAAGTGCAGAGCGGAGTTATCCTTACACAGATCAGACATGGCATGGGCTGCAAAGTGGGAAATACTTGCTCTCTGGCCCTTTACAGAGGAAGCTTGCTAGTCCTGGGTCTAACATGTTGTGCAAAAGCACATTGTTCTCATGAGCTCACTTTCCGTGCTCCCAGGGAAATTCCTGCAGATTGCAGGGCAGAGCCATTGCTGACATTCTGCAATCCGAGAGAGCAAAGGCAGACTCCAAGAGATGCTGTTTGGGGTTTGGGCAGAAGATCTGGAGGAGCAAGGCCCTTGGCCAGATAATGAAAGGAGGAGGCCCTCTGTGGGAGGGTTTAGAATTTCTTTGGGAGCGTGTGAGCTGGGCCCTCCGGGACTGAGCAGGAGCTCACTGAGAAAGGTCAGGCCAGGCTTCTCTGACTTTTTCCTTCATGGGAACGCCACAGAACGAGGCCAGAGCAATGCCCTAAAATTCAGCTGACTTCAAATCTTTAACAATGAGAAGGGAGGTGGACTAGGGATATTGACTTCTGTTCCTTTCCCTTTTAGTCCCAATCAGCTAGAGGTCATGATTGTGTTCCTACCACTCGGCTTCTCTGTTACCTGCTCAGCTGTTACTAATAGGACTTGGCCCAGGGCAGCAAACACGTTGTGTTGAGGGGGCTGCACCTCCATAATCATCCTGCTGGAGCTTTTATGTTGCTGGTTTATCATGTGCATACAGTATAACGTTTTTCCTTTTTCTCCCTGCCCTTTGCTTTAGGTGGAGAATTCAGGGGACCCATGGGAAAATTTCCAAAACAACCAGGCTCTTACATACTGGGAATGTGTCTATTTACTCATGGTTACCATGTCCACGGTTGGCTATGGGGATGTTTATGCAAAAACCACACTTGGACGCCTCTTCATGGTCTTCTTCATCCTCGGGGGGCTGGTAAAAACTCTTTATTATGGTGTTGATTTTTATGGTTATTAATATTTTCTGTTATCCATTTCCTTAAAGCTTTGTGTTTTGATACTGTGTTTCTGCATTAGAAGTAAGTGATCACCTTAGTGTTACCATCAGGCTAAGTAAGTCCAAGCGTGAGGGTGACTTTTTGCATATTTCTTTGATGTATTAAACTTTTTTCCCAGACACCCAGGCCTATTGCCCTTGTCAGGGACAGCCATTTAGCCAGGAGCAAACCTAATTGTCTTAAGAAAGTGATGCTCACTTATTAAGTGAGAGTGTCTGTCCCTTAGTAATGTAATTCAGCATCTGACATTCTGCAAGGACAGTTGCTGTCACCTGACCCTGGTAGATGCTGTCGATACTTTATAGACAGTTTGCGGTTTCAAGAGCTCCCCTGCCCCTTGATAGTCCTCCCCAAACTTCCAACAAACACTGTGGCTGGGGCCTGCCCTAAAGAGTAGGGTTCCCGCATTAGAGATGGAGAGCCTGGTGGACGGCACCGTGTGAGCCGTGTGCTGGTTTTACAAACAGCCAACTAACTCCATTCTGTGCGGCACCTGGGCTATTTTTCCTCCCCCTTTGTAAGTCAGAAGGTTTTGCTATTTGCTTTTCTGGTCTATGCAGTCAGAATGGTCAGTTATGATGTAATTTTCAAGGGGGACTTCTGGCAACACGTGGGCGGTTGCTGCATTTTGTCTTTCAAAGCAGCTCACTTTAAGTTTAGATTGTTGCTTTGTATGAGGTAAGTGATTAAAATCCTACTTCACACACAGCTTTCACATATGTACACAGCACACACATTTACATTATGCATACACATCTCTCTGTTTTGTATGCATATGACATATACATTTAAAAATGTATATAAATGTACATGTGCGTGTGTACATTAATGCAGGTGTTTCCGCAGCATCTATGAGGTCCCGGACCATAGATAATGAGACCCATCAATCCGGCCACAAGCACAATGTTTGTTGGACAAAACATGGCAGATTTGTGTTTCTCCTTGCTATCCTTTCCTCCCGTGTCATTTCCTAAATTTATCTTGTGTGCATTTTAGTGATTTTGTTTAAATGGAAAAGTTTGTATTTTTTAATCTTCCTTTAGTATTTATTGTCTTCAATCACTCAGAAAGGCATGGATTCTCCTCTGAATTTTAACTAGAAAGGAAAGCCTTCTCTTGCAGTAGTTTGTGTGCGTGCATGTGTGCATGTGAGTGCGTAATTTCCCCTGCACGTATCCCCTTTACTCACTTCTCTTCAGGAAGAAGAGCTAGATGTCAATTTATGTATTCCTGTCTCCTTTGTATTTTTCTCAACTGTGATTTTTTTTTTTTTTTAGTTGTCTAGGTTGGCTAATGTTTGTTTTGTCCTGTGTATTTTCAGGAGCTTGCCCTTTTTGTGCTTTAAAAAAAAAATAATCCAACATATTGGTATATACCTTGGCAGTTCTAATCCCTTTGTGTTTTCAGATCTTAGTATCCCCCCTTCTGAAAAGGTCACCCCCTTTCTTTGGCCTGTCTTTTTAGTCTCTCTTCTGTCTCCTATCTTCTCCTCAGGCCATGTTTGCCAGCTACGTCCCTGAAATCATAGAGTTAATAGGAAACCGCAAGAAATACGGGGGCTCCTATAGTGCGGTTAGTGGAAGAAAGTAAGTATGCCCAGAGGTTTTGCTGCCTCCGCTGCGGTAGAATCCTCTCTGCATGCCATTTTTTTTTTGGCTCTTGTTTCTTTGTTTCATGCATGTAGGCAATGTTTGCCCGCTACGTGCCCGAAATTGCTGCTCTCATCCTGAATCGGAATAAATTCGGCGGGACTTTTAACAAACATGGAGGCAGAAAGTAAGTCAGTTGCATCAGAAAGATGTGGTTGAGTGACTTCCAAGAGTCCCTATGGCGGTGGCACCTGAAACGGCCCTTATTGCACCCCACCCAGGTGCTTCTATGAGGGAAGGGCCACAGTCTGTGTGGGGTGTGATGTCAGAGGTTACCCAGGTTGCCATACTTGGACCAACCACCTAGCCCTATTCCCATTCACAACTTTCTTTCCTACACGTCTTCCCAAGAGACATGGATTTATCCTGGAATGGGTCTATCTATGACTGGGTCCATATTTTCTGTCCTGATCCCTAGCAAGTGAACCAAGCTTATTCATTCTTCACGCCAACTGGCTTGAGGGTTACACTCTCATCCCTCAGACTAACATGATGCCATCTTATGGGGGTTTTGTGCAGTAATAAGATGAGATCATACTCCAGCAAGAGACCTTCAGGGAGGACAAGATCAGGGTCACCTCGCCTGCTGTAAGGCCTGTGGGCACGAGGGAACCAGGCCTCTTTAGCCAGGAGGCGCAGGGCTCATCCTCAGAGGGATTCACTACTCAGCTGAAATTTCTTTTGGGCAACACATAATATGTTTATGGTACATCAGAGCACCACATGCTATGGCTGATGAGTCTTTTGTCAGGCTTCTCATACACAAATGCTTTCTACATGGGGTCTCTTTCAGTTTGTGCTCAGATCACTTTATCAATATCAATATCAATATGTGCGTGTGTTATCAACCAGAGGCTTTACTCATGGGCACAGGGCAGGACCTCACCACCCTGTCCTCTGCCGGCCACCATCTCCCGAGGAGAATGTCGGAGGGAGGCCGGGCTGGCAGACACCATTGTTCACTATTAAAATTTTTTTTTCTTGGGCACACAGCTTTGTTTCTGAGGTTTTCTGAGTTTTTGTTTTTATTTTACATTCCACAGAGGAAGATGTACACCCCTTTATTGTACAGCTCAGGAAATCCATACCTCTGTGCACACCCAGATCTGGATGCAGAATATTTTCATCACTCTTGCACCTTCCCTGTTATAGAAGTTCCTGCATTGGGACAAGGTTTTGTTTTTCCCCCATTCTTTTTTAGATCAACTCTGAAAATGCCTATTTTGTTTTCTAAGAGAGAATCCCACCCGCGGCACGGCATGCCCTCTGTCCTCACACCTCCTTGCCTGGCTGCCATGCTCAGGGCGTGGCCCCTCTCCCGTGGTGACACCAGCACATCCTGAGCTCAGGTGTCCGGTCCTCCATCCAGAAAAGGAGGAGGTGGAGAAAAAAGGGCTCTTTTTTTTTTTTTTTTTGAACAACCCACAGGACACCAGTTTCCTTTTGAAGGAACAAAGGACAGTGGGAGAGAGGAGGCCAGTTGGCATCCTTCCCGCGGAGGCAGCGCATTCCGCCACCTCCCCTCTCACGGAGCCCTCCTCTCCCTATTATCCTAACAGCCCTGTATGAGATTAGAACCAAGCTGTTCTGCTTTCCGGGCCACTGGTTGGATCCAAAAGGCCAAATACATCCAAACATTCCCATTGGTCGTTTGTTCCACGCCAAGAGGAAAACAGCTTCTCCCTTCGTTTTGCCTCGAAGGTGTGGACAAGTCTCCATAAAGCAGAAGGCATTCCGAGGCCTGGGGTTCTCTGCAGCCTCCCCACCCCGCAGTTCCAGCCAGAATTTCTGATCGCTGCCCCCAAAGGAGCCAATAAAATCAATTGCCCCAAAGTCTATGTCAAAAATATTTCTGTACTCTCACTCCAGGTAAAATTCCCCCCGCTCCAAATAGCTTTCCAAGCCCAATGTGGGTGGGCCGGGCTGGCAGCTTTGGTTGACGAGTGCCCCCGACCAGGCCCTCCGACCCATGCTCACTCACCGGCCTGGTCTGGTGGGTCATTTTGTGCCGTGGCATTTCCACTCAGACCTCCGCATGGTGAGGACTTCAGATCACAGACTCTCCGCAGCCTTTGTTCTGCCTCCATCTCCGTAATCCTTTATCACTGCTGTTAGCCTGGTTCCCCCTCCCCTCCCTTTTTTTCTATTCCCTTTATGAAAATGCACACTTTGTGTTTAATGTTCTCTTTGGGTCTCTAATGTTCCCCAACCCCACGGACAAAGAGCAGGTCTGTCATCAACACTGGGACTGTTCACTTTACTTTACGCATTGTTTCCTGGTTCAAAAGCTAATTACTAAGTAGTTTAAAGAAGCCCTTTGGTCACTTAGATCTTTCATCAGAAAATATAAGCTTGGGAAAGGAACGGTAATAAAGGGCCATTAGCACCCTTTGTTTGATGTTGTTTTTCCAGTCAGTAGAACAAGATTGATGAAATGTTATGTTTGGCCAAAATTTGAGTTTTCATTTGGAATTCAGTGTTGAGAGAATGGGCTGTCAGAATCAATAAGTTTTCTTGCGCTTGGGATATGGGCATGTGGTAGTAATTAGCAATATAAGGTCTTTAGTTGAGCAACCAAGCATGGGTTCTGGCAGCAAACATAATGAGAAACTACAGTTGTTCTATTTCTAACGTCAAAAAGTTTCCAGATAAAATTAAATGCATTTGCAAAAGGAAAGCAGCAAAACTTTGTTGAAAGACAGAGTTCAGACTCTTAAAATAGCGTGCTTCGCCCTATGTTTTTGTGTATGCATAAATATATGTGCTACATTCATGGACACACTTACATATACACTGCTCCCTAGGAGTTAATCAAGTGAGTGCCTGGAAAGTAATTAAAACATATACATAGTTAAGGGATTTGTTTATGTTTGCATATTTTACTCAGGAACGACCCCCCTAAAAATGCATTAACTTGTCAGAGAACTCAAGGTAACTTGCAACCCAAAGCTACGGAGACACATAACTTTGAAATCCAAAGATTATTTAGAGTAAAAGAAAATTAGGCAGAGAAGCTCAGGGGTTTGTTTATGTAGCACCCAATTTTAGAGTATTAGAGAATATGAAGATTTTTCGATGGCACCTCATTTCCAGTACATGTTCGGCATAATGTAAATACTTCACATAGCATTTCCAGAACATCTCCGCCACCAACACGGTATCCAGGGTGTACGTGGCTTACTCCAGTGTTCTCATCAATATTCTACACCTGACCTCCCGCAAGACATCAGAGCCAGCAGTGAGTGAGGGGCGGTCTGTGTCTGTGTGTCAGCTTTTCTCTAATTTATCTTACTATGATATTTTGGAGCTCTTAGGAACAGGACTTGTGTATCAACAACCAAGGGCCCCAGGAGTGGCCAGGGAAGGAAGTCTTTCCAAGTTGGAGGTCTTAGGGACAATTAACTCCTTGGGCTTAGTCCCCACATTTTATTCAGAAGTGTAACCCGCCTACAGCCCTGCCTTCCTCCTGAGGCCACTGCCGCCCCCTCTTTGCTTTCATGTGATGTCAGAGCTGCTCAGAGGTGGGGGCCCACAGGGGTGAGGCTCCCATGGCCTTTGGGACCCCAGCATGCTCCCCTTCTTCCCACAGCTCCTGCCGTTTCCCCCAGAGGTTCCCTCTGTGTGTGTGACTCAGCCCACTCCTGGTTAGTTTATAAGAACTGACAGATCATGGTCCGAGGTCACATGGCCAAGGGCCATGGAAAATAGTCGGCCACAGAGAGGAATCCATCTGCTCTCACCCGCTTATTAGAGGAGGCCTTCTATTTCCCATGCTGGGCTTCTGGGGCCCAGAACGGAGGCAGTCTTCAGCCAGGTGTTTGGGACGGAGGAGAATGGAATGCGTTTGGATTATTCTACTGACTCCTGGTAGCCAAATACTGAGAGGATACACAGAAAGAGGAATGAATAACAGAGGACAAGGAATAGGCAAAGGGGAACAGGAAAGTGAATGTAGTTTTCTTGGAGGAAATGTCCCAGCTGGATGAGAAAGCTAAGCCTCCCTTCTGGGTGAGGGAATGGTGGTCACAGGCTAACCAGGTCTAGCTCCAGTTCAAGAAAGCTGTCTGTGAAATTTAAATGCTGTGGCTTCTCTTAAAACACTTGCTGATACACTTCTGTAAATGAGAATGTGAATCAATATAATGCGAAGCCCTACAACTGCCTTCTATGACCATAATAATAACTACAGACACTTGCATATTTCTTTATTCTCAAAGCAACCTGTGAGGAAGGTAGTATTATCAGCTCCATTTGCAATGGGTGAGGAAACTGAGGAACAGAGAGATTAAGTGACTTGCCTGTTGTCACACAGCTAGTGAAGGGTATATCTGGGATTTGACTGGAACAGCATGCAATACTGGGTCATGTTGATTCTCTAGATTATCTCTTGAGATCCTGTTCTGCTCTCAGTGATCTTATCATTGTCCGTTTTCTCTGCCTCTGTCCTTAAGTGGGGCATGATGGAGAGGAAGAAATGCATGAGTATCACTTGGGGCCCATCGCCTCTTTCTGGTCTAAGGACCCTGGCCCCAAAGCCCAGGACAGAAAGATGGAAAGGGGACAAAGCCATTTTTTGGCAGGAATTTTTCTCATTTTGTTAGATGAGATATATATTTACCTCTTGAACACTTCTAACAATGAGGGGCTTTCAGGGATGGACAGACAGATCATTGATCACAATTAAATCAGTGTTATTGGGGGATTTCAACATTTTCAGCCCCTCCTCTGGCCCCATCCTTTCTGGGAAGTTCATTTTCTAGACAGCCATGGCAGATTGTAGTGATCTGCCAGACTTGGACGCCCTCCTGGGGCAGGCCTACCTGCATAAGAAGAGCCTTCTCTGCCCTGGTGGACATATCCACCTGTTCCCCTCAACTCCTTGGTTGGTCTGCAGCACAGCTTTGAGCATGTCTCTGGTTGTGGTTTCTTAACTTTCA